GCCCGTGGTCCAGACTGACCTGGATCGGGGCCCATTAGCAGAGCGCCTGCGGGGGGAGCGCCCTCCCCCTCTCCTCCCCCTCCCCTTCCGTCCATCAATGGACCAAACAAAACTGCTTGGACCTGCCTTGTTCTCTGATATATAAGGCTGAGACCGAGGTGCTGTCAGTCGCTGTGAGAGCCACACACATCCCTCACCTACATCCACACACACTCAACCACCCACGCACTCCACGGTTCCCTCTTCATTCTTGCGTACATCTCCCCGACAGTGTGGCCGGATGAGTTACCCGGTGGACACGATAGGGAGCCCCTTCAGGAGAGTTATGGATACAAGGACGAGCAGCTACGGCTACAGCCGCTCCGCCGCCGGAACCCCCTCCAGCGGCTACCGCTCCCAGTCCTGGTCCCGGGGCAGCCCCGGCTCCACCATCACCGCGACCTACAAGAGGAGCGTGAACATGCCGGCGTCCCGGGCTTACAGCGCCGCCGACAGCGTTGATTTCAACCAAGGCACTACCGTGATAAACGGAGACTACAAGCGATCTAACGAGAAGGAGCAGCTGCAGGGGCTCAACGACCGCTTCGCCGGTTACATCGAGAAGGTGCACTACCTGGAGCAGCAGAACAAGCAGATCGAGGCAGAGATCCAGGCGCTGCGACAGAAGCAGGTGTCCCGCACCCAGCTGGGAGACCTCTATGACCAGGAGCTGCAGGAGCTGCGCTCCATGCTGGAGCAGATCCACCATGAAAAGGCACAGGTTCAGATGGACACCGAACACATCGAAGAGGACATCCAGCGGCTCAGGGACCGCTTCGACGAGGAGGCTCGCATCCGCGAGGAGACGGAAGCCATAATCCGCGTCCTGAAGAAGGACATGGGCGACTCGGAGTTGGTGAAGTCTGAGTTGGAGAAGAAAGTTCAGTCACTGCAGGACGAGATCGCCTTCATCCGCAACAACCACGAGGAGGAGGTGAGCGACCTCATCGCCCAGATCCAGGCTTCTCAGGTGACGGTGGAGAGGAGGGACCTGCAGAAGACGGACATCACCGAGGCTCTGCGTGAGATCCGCAGCGAGCTGGAGGGTCACTCCAACCACAACCTGCAGCAGGTGGAGAGCTGGTTCATGTGCCGCTACGCCAAACTCACCGACGCTGCCGAGCGCAACAAGGACGCCATCAAGTCTGCCCGGGATGAGATCTCCGACTACCGCCGCCAGCTGCAGTCCAAGACCGTGGAGCTGGAGTCTGTCCGCGGGACGAGGGACTCTCTGGAGAGGCAGCTGAACGACATCGAGGACCGTCACAACAGCGACCCGGCCCGCCCGCCCGGAGGGGCGCAAGAAACGCTGAGAT